CCCCTTTTCACATCACAGTCCCCCCTTCATATCAGGAGCCTCTTTCACATCACAGCCCCCCTTCATATCAGGAGCCCTCCCCCCATTTCACATCACAGTCCCCCGCTTTTCACATCACAGTCAGTTATTTTCTCCTAGATTGTTCCCTTCTGCCTTCTCTAAACTCTTCACCCTTTTGTGAAAAACTCTGTTAGTTTCCTATTGACAAGCTACTCATTTCTATGTGCCATTATTATAACAAATATAAATGCATCCAATGATTTTCTATGGATCCGCTCACACTTTGCGTTTAGATACTTTTATCTGCAGTCAGTTTAGCTGTGTTTAGAATAAATAGAAGTCAGGTGCGTCCAGGAAACATCTTTTAGACCCCATTCACACTGAGCAACTTGTAGCGCGATTTCAGCTCAAAAATCGCTCAAACATCAGCTCAATGTAGCTTATCCAATGCATTTCAATGGAGCTGTTCACATCTCACAGCTCAATGTCACCTGTAGCTTGCCGCTCAAGCTTGTCGCTTGAACATGACCTATCTTTCGGCGGATTTCGTGCGATTTGGCCCAATAGACTTCAGTGGTGTAGCTCAATGTTGCATAAATTTGTGTGACATTGTCGCGCTGCGTCGCGCTACAGAAGTATCACTGTTGCACAGAAATATAAGCAGGAACATTATGTCACATCAAGACCCCTTTTGATAGGATACAGCCCAATGTAACAGCTACGAAGTCCATGCCAAAAGTAGCGCTATGTAGCGTAACAATATGTGCACTGTAGCTCAATGTCTCTCAAAGTCGCTCAGCTCAAATCAGCGCTGATGTAGCTCAGTGTAATTGGGGTCTAACTTCCAAACGCACCAAAACAAATGTAAATGCATTTTGATCCTAGCATTTGGTATCAGACACACGCACATAAATGCATGTAAATGCATGTAATCAAAAGTGATTTAACGCACCTAGATGCATAAAACCAGTATCTAGCCTGACAGATTTTTAATCTGCTTATAAAGGACAAAAACGCAAGTGCCAAGTGTGAATGTAGCCTAAAGCTGAATGTCCAGAGCCCTCCCCTTTTCACATCACAGTCCCCCCTTCATATCAGGAGCCCTTTTCACATCAGAGCCCCCCCCTTTTCACATCACAGTCCCCTATTCATATAAGGAGCCCCTTTCATGTCACAGTCCCCCCTTCATATCAGGAGCTCCTTACACATCAGAATCCCCCTTTTCACATCACAGTCCCCACAGCCCCCCTTCATA